CGCGGAGAACCTAACGGGTAACCGGGGCTCCGGCTCGACGTGCAGGAGAAGGAACGGGGTGGTTTTTAGTCAGTAAGAGTCTGACACTCCCTCCCGCCTCACCCAGGCGGGGGCAGTCATTCGATGATTTTCCCCCCTTAAAAAAAAAAAAAAAAAAAAGTATCCATAATCCCCAAGCGGTCACCGGTGACCGCTCTCCACTGACTACATTATAGATCTTATTTCCGATGTTTAGAGATTACTTTTGTATGAACAAATTTAGGGGATGATATTTCAACAGGTTTCTGAATCTAAATAAGTAATTAAGTACCACTGTACTTGGCCTTACCACTGTCAAATTTCTCTATTACATTATTCAACTTTATTGTTTTGACATAAAGTCGTAAATCCAAGAATAATAAAGATAAATAGAGTAGGTTCATATTATGGCCACTGTATTCTTCTATCCATAGTATTATTATGTTCCTCCCTTTTATGTCCCTACCCTTCCTAGGACCGATTTTTCCAACACCATATAAATGACTGAGGAATAACTTGGAATATTTGACAATACATCCATACTAAACACTGTTAAATGTCAATTTTATTGTACAGTCGAGAATTAACTGATGATCGATGAAAAATCGGCCCTTGGTCTTCTTACCTACAGTTCAGTTCTTCCACCTTATAACTTCACATAAGTACCTACCTATAAGTATACGCAATAAAGAATAAACAAAGAATATAAGTAAATATAATTTATAAGTACATACATTGTAATTACCTACTTTAACCGTCTGCAGCTGACGTGTAGTCCCACAGACACCGCGAAATACAAAATCACGTGTTATACCGTCATTTTTCAAATACGAGCATCACTGCTGCGAGTACCTTACTGTATAGTGCTCGCTATACTTTAATTCTACAAAAATATTTGCTGTTGAAATGGTGTCTGGTATAATATACACCTCAGTTGAATTGTAACAAATTAACCACGTCAGTTGCAGAGGGTTAATTTGTTTAGCCTCTTGCATTGTCCTTTCCAATGAGTTTTATAAAAAATGCTTCGTCAAATCGAAAGTGCTCTTTGTTGAACCGTCAAATCAATAGTAGCGATTGAATCATTGAAAAATAATAAGAATAAACAAAATTTTAATGATTTTCTATTAATAACATTATTATTTTGAGGAATTGGTGGCTGTCTGTCATAAGTAGGTAATATATTGAGCGATTGCCATTAATGATTTAGGTTACCTATAGCCAGGCTAAAAGTTGTACACTTTTTATTTTAATTTAGAACTTTTCGTCCAATTGTGTAGGACCTATCTATTACACAACGACTTGAATTTATTTCACAATGGTTACTTATCAATTAAATCTAAGTACCATTTGATTTTCGGGGAAAACAAAACAGCCTAGCCGGTACGCCATTTTGTAGAAACGGAAGATTCGAGATACGGTATAATAATAAATTATAGTATAATTGATTGAAACTTACCTTTGTGCTATTTGAGTAGAATTAGATGCTTGAAGAACAAAGACACGATCACGAATAATGCACTCTGCTATCTCAAGAATATCTTGGCTTCTGCGGCGCTGTGAGCAAAGCTCGCTTCATATATAAATGCACGAATGATGTGACGTGTTCACGACTGGTCTAGTATCTGAAAATATAACATCAGTATTTTAATTTTGAACCTTATCTTGCACGAGATAAAGGTGACATTGGTGTTCCCAGCAGATACAAAGTACAAACTCAAGTTTTAGGGAAATCCAGGAAATCAGTATTCGATGTTGCCATTATAACTTTTTGTAAATAAAGGCGAATACTTATTTTTTATGTTCTTGAAAAAAATAAAAATACTAGGCTAACCAAACAAATTATCGTAATATCATACAAAATTGTATTTTTTCAATAGTTTCAAAAACGGCCAACGCGCTGGCCCTATGTCTAGAGCCGCCTTAATATCTCCTGTTTTGAACTGATACAGTTTGATTGAAGTCCTGAACCATAGCAGTCGCCATGAACCATCATTGAAAACGATAGGGAGGCTTCATTTTATTTAACAAAATATTTGGCCTACGTGTAGGCTCCATAGCCTATATGTCGAACAATGAAAAAAAAATCGTAATCGATAAAATGGTTTTATTGCCTACTGTTCTGAAAATAAATTGTAAGTCCCTTGTGTCAATAATGTAAAAAGGTATCAAAACCCTGATAAACAAGAGCAAATTGGGGAGATCCCCATACATAACCTATATCTAAAATTCTATAATATAGTGTAAGTGTTAAGGATAGTTAAAAAGTATTAAATAAATTATTTAGGTTCACGTCTAATTCCGTTATACATTTAGTTTTGTATCACGGAATAAATGATGAGAAACTAATAGGTAAAGTGTTGGACATGTTCCATAAACTAAATATTTTTTTGTACTGTTAACATCAAATTTTTCTGATTTTGTCTGTGGATTTTGTTTTCAGATTGACAGTTGTATAAAAAAAAACGCGTTGTTTTGCTCTTGCTCTTTTCTAACCTTGAAATGTAATAGCATAAAACAAAATGTTTTTCACGTTTTGATATTGCAATTTTAATAAACGTAGCCTAGCCTTACTCTTGCCTTACTAATTACAGTTGTTTTATAATATTAAGAAAAATGGATGAGGCTGTAAATAATGAAAAGATTAAGTTCAGTTCCATTAAACAAAATCCGAAAGCGTTACTAAAACTCGTGAATACTTATGTTAGAGTTCAACTTATTAAGGATTGCGCTTATGTCGGTTTCGTGCACTCTATTGACCCAGTAACAAACAGGTAAATATATTTTATAACTCTTTGGTAAAATTCTAACTTATAATATACTTTTTAAATGTGTATTTTGTACATAAATAAGGTTTTGTGATATATTATTATTACTTTATTATTGTTCCTAATCTTCATTTCCTTCAGAATTATTAAACATTTTGTAGATAATAATTTATATTTATTTAGTAGTAGAAAATGTTCCTCAGAATTTTGATGATCTGTGATATAATGAACAAAGTCAGTTAAACTTTGTTTTCATTGTTCTGTGCGTGTGTATAAGCTGCAATCAAAACTCTTTACCAGTCAAAAGTACTATTTAATAATTTATTTCATGATGAATCAACAACAAATTTATTTAAAAAATTGTAACATTAAACTACTTGCAGATTCACACAAATAGTGACTAAATAGGGAACAGCTAAGACAAAAGTAAAATTATAAATATATTTAAAACAGGAGGCACACTGCAAGAAAATGATTTAAAGTAAAATTTTATGTAAATATATATTTTAAAATTAGTTTACTATCAAAATCAGTTAGTTGACTGTAAACATTTGACCACATGCTTTGACCACATGCTTTGACCACATGTGGTCAAATGTACAAAGTCAATATGTACTTTTGACTAAGAATAATAGTTGAAATTACTTTTACCCAATGGTATTGATTAAAATTGTTTTTGACTGGTTAAGAGTTTTTGACTGCAAATTATAATATCCTTGGAAGACTTGGGTAAGGTAATAAAACAAGTAGACGTAAAGGGTCAATAGTTGTAAACTTATCATAATGTAACAAAACTTCACTTTATATTCACACAGGAGTATATGTGAGTGAAATAAAAGAATTGTATTATAGAATCTAATAACATTTTTGTCAAAAATATCTTATAAAATAACATATACATTTTTTTCCCGAAACGGTAGGCAGGGGTGCACATAAGGTGCTTAATGCCACTGTACAATGTTGTTACATTGTACATTCCCACTTTTCACTATTTTATGTTATGAGTCCCATGTAATAGGGGGTAAGCCTATTGCCATACACAGGGCACATTTCCGGATTCCGTGGTACTACTGCAATTTTTCGAAAACCTAGTAATACTTCCCCAACCCTGGAATTCAACCCGAGACCCATTGTCCAGCAGTCGCACTAGGGTCCACTCGGCCAATGAGCAGTCTGTTAATGTCTCTAAATATAATATGGCAAAATGGACTAAAGAAAAATAAATATTCTTTTTCAGTATTATCCTGTCAGTACCTCAAGATAATGGACATCAAACAATAATAGTTCCGGGCCATGCTGTGCTTGACATTACACAAGAAGAGTTAATGGATCACATCAAACCTCCACAGAAGAAGGAAAACCATGCAGACACACCAGAAGAAATATTAAAAAGAAAAGCAAAACTTATTTCCTGGTTTAAAACTAATTTACTGCCAGTTACAGAAATAGATGATAAAATAATCATAGGAAATGTAACTCTATTGAGGCCGTACAAGATAACTGATATAAGTGCAGATAACCCAATTGTTGCTATGCAAATAAGAAATGTTATTAACAGCATGCCTGCGAACTTTCAGCCAAAATAACTATTATCAGTAACTTATTGTGTTTTATTTAACATTCTGAAGCATAAGATGTGTGTAAAATGGTTTTTTGATATAACTTTTAAACTGTCAAACAGCAAGCGGTCACCGGTGACCGCAACCTATTGTTCTATAATTGTGTCTACAAAACCGGTACTCGACGAGTTAAGGATGATATGATACAATACATACTTTAATTATTTTGTTCAGTTTTTAAAATAATAGATAAGTAATAGTTTTTCTTGATTAAAATTGGCTAAATCAATGCTTTGTGCATGTATAAATTAAAGTAAACATAGAGTGACTTCTGAAGGCTTACAAACTCGTAAGTTTGATTCTTCTGGGGGCTTCTGGGAGCAGGCCAATCAAATGGCCTCCTGCAATGAACCAACCAATCAGAGCGCAACCGTATGCAGTAACGTTTCGATCTCGTTAAAAGTAAAACAAAGTCTAGTCGTACTAAGCCCTCTGATTAATACTTTTTTTTTGGGGGGAAAATCATCGAATGACTGCTCCCGCCTGGGTGAGGCGGGAGGGAGTGTCAGACTCTTACTGACTAAAAACCACCCCGTTCCTTCTCCTGCACGTCGAGCCGGAGCCCCGGTTACCCGTTAGGTTCTCCGCGACCTCTGATTAATACTATGAAGTGGGGGTAGAATAAGATGTCATTATAGTGTTGAAACAAATGAGAATTACTGTAGTAGGCACACACAGTGTCAACAGTTTTATCGTACGTGGAAACAAAGACATGTTTTTTTAGCTTTCCCTCTCAATAAAGTATACAACGATGATAAGGTGTGTAGACAGATAGTGTTAGCTCTGCCGCGTTTAGATACTGTGAATTCAGTCGATGTTGAACAGTATTCCCGCCTACTCGCATACTAATGTCATTTATATTGTACCTATCGTACCGGCCGTCGGCGTCGGCGCAACCCTGACAGTTGATTATTGAGATACGCGTCCGTTGTTGTTAGTGTTTAGTTGTTTCCACCGTTTTAATTTAGATAAGAAATTGTTCTATACGTTACAAAATAGTAACATAATTATTATTGAGTGTTCTTGGTTTCATAAGAAACAAAATGTCGAATAAAACGAATAGAAAAGTGCAATATTTGGCGGGCGTGTGTGGTGAGTAAACATTTTGTAGCGCGAAAATTTGAAATGTAGTGTTCTTTAAATGAATTATTTTAAACTTCAGCGGCGTTCTCATTTACATTTACTGGAGCCACACTGGCGTGGTCGTCACCGGCGATTCCAAAGTTCAAAAGTGGTGAAGCGAATGTTGTTATCACTGATGTAAGTATTTTATTAGTAATCGACTGAATATAGCTTCACGATAAACAGTTGCATAGTAGCCTTGCCTAATACATTTCAATGTCAATTCGTCTCGTGCAATTATTACGTGAAAACAACGACTAGGTATTCGAAATAATAATAGGCATTGGGATCGATATCTTTACGAAAATCGATATTTCGTAGGTGCTCGTTAATAGTTTAAATGTCCGAACGTCATTCAACCGAGTAATGAGCATGCATTGGTATTATTAAACTAAGACAATAGATTTGTGGAGTCTAATGCTCGAAGTCTACTCACTTTGGGCTATACATTGTAACTAATTAATTGTGAACGATTTAATGTCTGTAGTCTTATCTCTATCATTTAGTCCTGTCCTGTATATACTACTTACCTGCATCCACGTAGGTAGCTTTGTTGTTCCTTTCTTCATTAATTATTAATAGTCATAATGACCGTGAAGGTTTTTGAACTAAGTTTATATACGTCACACAGGCTTGTTTGTGTACCTACAATAAAGTAGGTTCCTTCCTACCTATCTAAATAAATCTTAAAAAATGCTCGCTCCAATATATATATAGGTAATGTGAATTTTAATTACCCCGCTACAAAACAGTATCTTAATACCAAACGAGGTCCTTAATACTTAGTAAGGTATTTTTTTAATAGTATCCAAGATTAAGTCGTAAAATAGCCGCTCAATATCAGCTGATTGACAAGAGCGGGGGTAACGACCTCATACATAACTATAACAAGCCGCCCACACTGCCGTATTTACGTATTAGTATCGAGGTCGTTTCCAGCTATTTTTTTCACAATTCTACTATTTTTATTCCAGAATCATTTAGCTACAGAAAAACATTAAAATTGAGGCTGTATTAATGTTATACCTATAAAGCTGAAGAGTTTGTTATACTGTTTGTACACAGACGCAGACGTCATGGGTGGTGTCCCTGCACTCCGCGGGAGCACTCCTCGGTTGCTACTTCGGGCAAGTGTTAAATGAAAGGGCTGGACGTCGCCGTACATTTCTGGGCTCAGCCGTGCCGGGCCTCTTAGGTGCGGTACGTTCCATTTGGCTCTTTCCTTTATTTTGTTTATTACATACTGACTGTCGTTTTTACTATGACTGTGAATCATGAAGTAAATGAATTACCTATATATTTTGAGATAAATATAATTATGAACTACCTATGTATAAGTAGATTAATAGAGGTAGGGACTTTAGGGAACTTAAGACTTGATTATTATAATACCTCTAGTAACGAAGTATTTGAAAAGAAAAGAAAACCCATAAAGAACTGACCATGGATCTAATCAAGAACGTGGTTACCCTTGTCGGGCTCGGGTTATGAAGGCAGGTAGCAGCCATTCGATGTAAAATACTGTAGTCTAAACTGGGTAAGACTTAGTATCCATCTCGAAAACTGTACCTAGCCAAACGCTAGGAGAAAGAAGTTGGGGGAACATGGTAAATATGTATCGACGCTAAATTATGAATATGAGCCTCTAGTATGGCTTGAGACTAGCCGAGTTCCTCGTCAAATTATTACGTGAGTAACCTGAAATCATAATAATTTATTTAGTATGTCTCACAAAAGTTATAATACAAATGTATCGACGCTGTCATATAATTACCATACACATAGCAACGTGTACCTACTTATGAGTGATAGTTAAGTAGGTGCATGTGTTATAAAATACGTCCCTTACTTAACTTTTGAGGAAAAAGAACAAAATATTGTACAAGAATGAAAGGATAGTTGAAAGTAGAGTAACGAAAGAAATATACAGAGCGGATACGGATGGGGCCGTCGGTAGAGACGACCATACTTACGACATCGGAGTCGCGGAGAACCTAACGGGTAACCGGGGCTCCGGCTCGACGTGCAGGAGAAGGAACGGGGTGGTTTTTAGTCAGTAAGAGTCTGACACTCCCTCCCGCCTCACCCAGGCGGGGGCAGTCATTCGATGATTTTCCCCCCTTAAAAAAAAAAATACTTACGACATATAGGTACTGACCAGATTGGCGATATTTTAAAGAAGGGCCGAATTAAAAGTACCCTTAACCGACGAGCGTGCATGAAAAGATTGATGACTGTTGATGAAGCGAAAGAGGTGTGAGTAAGAATCGTAGCTATCAGCCTCCCATAGTCTCTGCCTACCCATGGGAGATCCGCGTAAGGTTGATTTGTTATTCATTAAGTATGAAAATGAAAATGGTACGTACCTATTTACCGACATAATGAAGATTTCTCAAACACCTTGATAGATATTATTATCACTATAGCTAATATTTACTAGCTCATTTGCCTACAGTAGCAAGATATTGTGTATAGTACTATAATAGAAGTACCTAAGTGAATAAATCTTTATATATATATTTCTTCTGTGAGTGTGTATGCCACTGAACTTCTCTCAAACGACGGGACCGATTTTGATGAAAATTTTTGTGTGTGTTCAAGGGGATCTGGGAATGGTTTAGATTCACAAATCAGCCCGGCAGATGGCGCAGGAGTCGATGTTTAGGTTATTTATCCGAAACAGCTGAACTAATTTCAATGAATTTTTGTTTATACATTTAGTGGATATGCAGGATAACGTCTGTTGAGTCCGCTAGTATTCTTATAATTTGTCTTCTTGCTTCCAGACTCTCTTACTGAACACGACAATGCCTGAACTGATGTATGTGGCCAGGTTCATGATGGGACTCGCAACTGGTATTATAGCCGTGGTAAGTTGATATACCTATTTATTTTTTTAATATCTTTCTTTCTTAATTAGCTTGAGTAGGTAAGTAAGTCTCGATCCTGTAGGAATATTGGTAAAACTTTGGATACAAGACTTTTCAAACGTGAAATGTTTTTTTAATCGGTGCAGTGGATTCGAAAGCTATTCGACGAAACTAACAAATCAACAAATATATTTCCTCTCTACAATAGATTTTTCGTTTACATAATAAAAATAATTGTGGTGTAGTGAATGATTCAGAAATGTTTATATTTTGGGATGAAACTGGATTTAGGCAGTTTGCCAGTAGTAGGTATACGAAACTGTTGTGTGTGTACGAATTTTCATGTCAGCACATTTAATTGTAATTAGCAGTTAAGTCATAATTTAAAAAGATGCAAAGCTATTCCTATCTTAAAAATTGTGCAATATAGACTTATTGTAGTACAAACATGTACTCCATAACTTTACTGGAACTTTTTAAATACCTCGGTAATAAACAGTTTTCCCTTCGTACCTACAAACCTTTCCCGCGCACAGCAAAGCGATTGCTCGTATGCTTATTAAACTTCTGTCAATGACTAAAATTCTCTTGTTTTAGGTAACAATGATATATGTAACAGAAATATCGGACAAAGAGATAAGAGGAGCTTTGGGTATGACGGTGCAAGTGATGAATAACTTGGGAAGTCTTACAGTGTACAGCGTTGGACCATTCGTTTCATACAAAACCTTGAATTGTATCATACTGATAATACCCGTCTGCTATGTCCTGCTGTGTCTTTGGATACCAGAGTCGCCTTACTACCATCTCAAGGATGGAAGAATAGAAGCTGCCAAGAAAGAGTTTATGAGACTTAAAGGAAATCAGGAGGAAAGTGTGAGTATCTCTCAATTGCCTACTTCTGTACCTCATCATCATCACTTCAACAGTCTATCAGAGTCCACTACTGAGCAAAATCACCACACTTGCTCAAGGCCAGTAAGCTATTTCAAACTTACTAGAAATTGGGTAGTTTTCAGGCTATCAAAATTAAAAATCGAATTAGTCCGTCAGTTAGATTACGAAAAAATATTAGACCCGTATTTTTTTATTTTCTCGTATTAAGTTGCAATAAATAAATAAAATAAAATACATTTATTTCAGGTGATCATAACCCATAATATTATATTGTTAATCAGATAGGTAAAATATATTAATAAGTAAAGATACAATTCTTCTATTTAGGAAAGGGCATTGATTAAAATTGGTGCCTTTCTTTTTTCTGGCGGCAGTCGATGATTTATGGAAAATATTATGTAGAATGACATTACAAACGAAATTGTCTATGGGCTCATATATGGAAATCTCAGTCTGGACTGAGTTATGAGCGTTGAAAGGAGCTGGAGTCAAACATTTTACTTCGGTTTTTTATTCAAATTATTCATATTTTTGCCACAATTCCTAACTTCAAATTGCGCGCCACTGTATTCCGGGCACAGGAAAACCATATCACACCACAATATATTCATATTACCAGGCACTAATTTTTATTACCTATTTTCTCTCAGTCGATAACTTATGGGATGTTTCTAGGAGTTGTGTCATGAAGCTTCATAAGCGTCAGCTGTGGTACCAGTGGTGAGTTGAGTAGTGGTAGCCGTTCAAACATCTAATAAAGTTTTTTTTTTGCTATTGACTCCTGGTGGCACACTCATCTACTTTATAGTTACCATAATCTTTTGAAGAAAGGAAACCGTCGACTTTTAAATTGATCAGCGCTACTCAATCCACTACCGACGCCGCAGCTGACAAACATAGCATTTCATGATAGGGCTCAGTAAATTATTTTGCGGGTTTTCGACTGAGAGGAAATTGATTATGAAAATCTGTCATAGGCCATAAACCGTATACATATAAAGTGAATACGCTACCCAATCAAGCGAAATGTTTTTTTTTTACTTGAGCAGTGGCCAGTTAATGGTTCACTCTGTTCTGGTTCCGTGGCCATAAGGCTAAACACAAAAAAAACAAACAAAATATTAAAATAGTCTACAATAAGCTTTATTACATTCCTTGAAATCGTTTAAAATTATTTATTAAGAAATATTTCTGACAAGTAAATGAAGTTAAATGCGTTGTGTACTGTCACCATCAACAAATAACAGGAATAATATAGCACTATAACCACATCTTTGAACCGATTTAACTCGGTTCGGACTGTGTTTTTGATATAAGACCCTATATATTTTTTTGTTTGTAATGTTATTCTACATCAGATTTTCCATATCCGATCAACTGCCGCGAAAAAATGAAAAGGCACCACGCTCCATACAAATTTGGTCATTGTCATTTATAAGGACATGTCATTATAACCATAAATGCAATGCATGCAATACTTAAATAAAATGGCGCTAAGTTTAGGAGTGGGAGGTCGTTACGTCATAACGTGCTACAAAATGTGGCACGCTGTGATGTCACGCGATATTTAAATTTAATATATCGTCGAAAGTATTTAATTTTGTGAGAAAAGAAAAAATACGTGTCAAATGTTTTAAGTTAATGTACCAGACGGACATTAAAATAAAATTTATGAAACTAATATTATAAGCCCAGGTTTTGTCATGATGTTTTCCTTTACTGTATTTCGCTAGTATCTAAATAATATAATCTAAGAAAGTACGTACACGTACTTATATATAACTCGAAAAAGTTATATTGGTGCGTGCCAGCCCGTTCCTTAAACCTCCGGGTCATTACGACAAATCACACATCTGTAACTGTCTCATTTATTAGGAAAAAGCCTTTTTGTTCACGGGGAAGGAAAGAACGCCTAACTGCGATCTGTCTAAGGATTGAGCCTTTTTTCAGAAGTAGGTGTAACCTACCTATATCGGCTGATGATGGTTTTGAACTTTGATCGTTATTATAGCGATAAATATCTGATATTTATTTAGTGTGCAGACGACTAGAAATAATATGGAAATACCCGACCTTCTCTTAACAAATTATCACGATAGCATCACAGATAACGCGTATCACTGAATTTTGCAGGCATCACGAATGTGTTACAAAATTTATTTCTCACGATTGTGTCCTAAATTTGAACCGACTTCTTGTCACTAACATATTCTTATATTTATCTACTATTGTAATTTGCATTCCACTATATAATTAAGGCCTGGTTAGATTTCCGGGTCGATCTAAGTGTAATTCAAAATCCAAGTCTATTTAAGTCGCCTCAAAGAGCCGTCAGAACACCACAGATGGGGCCCAACAAGGCCGATGCCGATTCGGAGTCGCAGAGAACCTAAATAGTAACCGGGGCTCCGGCTCGACGTGCAGGAGAAGGAACGGGGTGGTTTTTAGTCAGTAAGAGTCTGACACTCCCTCCCGCTTCACCCAGGCGGGAACAGTCATTCGATGATTTTCCCCCCTTAAAAAAAATAGTCTATTTAAGTCGAAGCTGCTGGATGCAGCATGCAAATTGTTTCCAACCGAATGATCTGCTGGAAGTTATTAAGGGTGGTGTAGGTGCAGCAACAGCCGATGTTCCTGATGATCATGATAATTTATTTAAAGTAAACATCTTTATATTTCAGTTGTTAGAAGAACAGATGAATGTAATGCGGGCACACGTGAGAGAGAGCATGGAAAATAAGACCACGTTGAGAGAACTCCTCACCAACATGCGGTATAGGAAGGCTGTATACATTGTCACAGGTAAATATGTAAGTACCCATTAAGTAAACAACTTGTACATAAGATTGTATAATGTTTAATACTCTTTAAACTGTCAAACACCAAGCGGTCACCGGTGACCGCAACCTATTGTTCTATAATTGTGTCTATAATGACGGTACTCGACGAGTTAATTAGGTCGACCTGTAGCGAGCTATGTAATGAAATCTTACAATCGGAATTACACGCACTTCTAATTGTTGTATTGGCAATTATAGATTAGTTGACCTATATAGATAGATTACACGACCATATAATATAGTTTTATGGTATACCTTCAAACTCTTTGGAACCTTCGACTGCTTACGAGTACCTAAACATAACATCGAGTTAGGGAGGTAGAGACTTAGGGCTCATTAGATGTGTCCACTCCTCCTGATGATGACCTAGATTAAAATTTATATTATAACTTTAGTGTGACATACTAAATTAATTATTATATTTTTTTCTGCTTATACTCTCGTAATTATTCCATGACTCGCGACGCAGCGACCAGTGGCCGCGTCGCGGTTCGCGGAATGCTGCTCATGAATATGGGCCTCTAGCATGGCTTGAAAGTAGTCGAGTTCCTCGTCAAACAATTACGTGAGTAAGCCGAAGAACATCAAAATTCTGTGAGGATTATTTCATTAAACATTGTTTTAAAATACTTTTTTTAAATTATCGCTATACAAGTTGAGTTTGCCGTCTCGAAACGAGACGCAAGTCTCCTAGTAACGACGCAAAGTCTAGCGTGGAATGTTATCAAATGAAATAAGGTCACTGGCTCGCGACACATCGTACGATGTTTTAATTTAGTTCAACTTGAAGGTTTGCATAGGTGCCTTATGTCTTTGAATTTGTTACGGTATCTATTCTTAAAGTAGGCGGTTAGGAAATACAGGCAGGACTCATCTAGGTACTTTTAAACCTCAATTATTTTGTTTTGTTTCTTTTAAACTGTCAAACGCCGCGAGGACACCGGTGACCGCAACCTATTGTTCTTTAATTGTGTCTATAATGACTTTACTCAACGTGTTAAACGTGATCTCGCACTAGGATTTTTCGTGATAGGTTCTTCGAAAACACCCAATCACACTTTGCTCGATCATCGAGTTTGATAGCTCTTGTTTGGCAGCGCTTGCCATAATTCCACTAATAAGATAGTCAGCTTTAATAATTATCATTCATGTATCATGCATGAACTAGGCCTTTCACATTGTTGGTAGGTATGGCACCACACACAATGAGTCATACAAAGTGCAAGTATTCACTTGACTCTTAAAGTCTTGACCCTTTCTCATCCGTGGGCTGACTTACACCGGCTGATTAGATAAGCCTTCAAGTCTGGTGTGACTGTCATTGATCCAATTAATTACCCTGATAAATTATTTATTGTTTTTATTTATGCAACGAAGTTTAAACCATTTTGTCTGTAGGTACTTAAGTTCTTATGTAATCTGAATCTCCTTAGGGATCTGGGATATGCTGTAAGCAGTATAATGTCGTGGTGGAAAATGACAGTGATAACCTTCATGCTTCTCATTAGATATAATAAAGAAGTTTGTATATGTCTGTGTTCTTATGAATGAGGGTTCGGGTTCGAAATCTATCAACGGCAAGTACCGATGTGAGTTTATTTAGACACCATTGACAAACAGTGAAGGAAAACATCGTGAGGAAATCTGGGCTTATAATTTGTAATTATAAGTTTGAAATCGCCAATCCGTAATTAAGCAAGCGTGGTGAATGCTCAAACCTCTGTGTGAGAAGAGGCTTTTCTCAGCAGTGGGCACTTATAGGCTGTTGATGATGATGAGTAACAGACGTTGCGCAGTAGGTAAGGCTGTTTTCCCGCGCACATTTACGTTACATAATCTTATACTATTATTTAAAGCGGAAGAGTTTGTTTTTTTGTTTGAACGCGCTAATCTCCGTAACTACAAATCTGATTTGAATAATTCTTTTTGTGTTGGATTGCGCATTTATCGAGGATGGCTTTAGGCTATAAAACATCACGCTACGACCAATAGGAGCTGAGCAGAGCGTGTGAAACCGCGCAGGGGTAGCTAGCTAGCTAGCTATATTTTTAACTTTTATTTTGTACAAGCTACAACATATCTTTTATATCATACTAAAGGCGAGAACTATGATAAAGCCTTCTTTTATCAATGTTTGTAGGTTCTTATTTGAATATAATTCCGTATTTAATGTTTAAGAAAGATTTAACTTGTTTCTTCCGCCTTTTAGAAAACCTTGACTCGGTCGTTAAAGGAGAGAAAAGATATCTACATTTTAACAAAGTTATTTTTGGTTCATTCGCATTTGCTGACCTATACCTAAGGCTGTCGAAGAGAACCTAACGGGTTATTGGGGCTCCGGCTCGACGTGCAGGAGAAGGAACGGGGTGGTTTTTAGTTATTAACTCGAACTAAGACTCCCTCCCGCCTCACCCAGGCGGGAGCAGTCATTCGATGACAGGTCAGTGGGTCGTCTTACGGGTAAGGAGTTTACGACTCAGAAAAATTTTCATTAAAAATAAAAATTCTTATAAATGGTTAGTTTTTCATTTTTATCGATTAGTATACCTAATAATAAAGCGAAAATAATCTGGACACCTTTTGTCTAGGACTTCAGGTTCGCCTATAAATGAGCTCTAAAGGTCAAATGGTTAGACCATTTTCCCGCCTTAAAAAATACCTAAGGCTGTCTGGAATAGGATCCTATATCTATGAGAATGTTCTAGCGAGTGATAAATATACAATGAATTTCTTATTTATTACATAACATGAAATCACTTCTTATATTTCTTCGGAGAGTAAGCAGAGAGCCACAATCCAGATATCTACCATATCTATTTAACACACACCTACTTTGAACAAATTGTGTTATGAATCATAACTTATGATCCAATAGATTTGTAACAATATTATAATTATAGACTGCCTCGTTGGCCAAGTGGTGTGTCCCTTCGTCCAGCATACTCACCATGGAATCCTGATATTTCATGAATGTCAAAAAACTGTTCTGAAATAGTGCTAAATAGTGCCCAAAGGAAAAAAATAGTGCTCTTGTACTTGCGAAGTTATAGCCATAGTTCGATGAGTATGCTGGACGAAGGTTTCGCCCAGCATACTCACCTCCGTCCGGAGAATCTGTATACGCTTCAAACATAATTCATACTTCAAAAAATAGTTCCCAAATAGTGCCAAACGGTGCCCAAAAAGAAAAAACAGTGCTCGAATAACTTCGGAGTTATAGGCTTCGTTCAGTGAGTATGCTGGGCGTAGGTTCTACGCCCAGCATACTCACCTCAGTGCGCGAATATCGAACGAGCTATAGGTACAATTTACGTCTCAAAAAATTGTGCTTGAAATAGTGCCCAATATCAGTCCAATTTTTGCTTGACTTTTGAC